TCTCAAATTCCTTCTTTATTCAAAAAAGAAATATATGAACAAGCAAAAATCAAAACAAACAAAACATCAATCAAATAATCCCAATAATGAATTTATTCAAAGAATAAATGAACCAATACTATAGGTATAAATTAATAAAAATATATAGTACAAAACAATCAATCAAATTTTATATAATAATTTATACAAATTAATAATATAAGTAGTATATTATAATTATAATTATTAACACAGAGGATTATAATATACTTAAATTGCCTCATTCTCAGATAGGAATTTAATCTAACGCCTCAAACCACAAAGAGTGGATTATAACATAAAGTGCATATACAAAAAGTTACACACAAATACATAAATACAAACATATAGCATAATTTGAATCGATTGATCAAATAGAGAATAGAACTCACCTAATGAAGAAAGAATTTGCAGTTTACCGGAACCACGAGGCCGGCCTCTACCCCGTTTCTGAACGAGCTTCGCAGGTGGTGCCGAGAAGTCTCGAAACACCGGCAATGTGGCCTTCTTGTCCACTTGATGTTTCTTAGGTCTACCTCTCTTTCTTCCAACCTTTGATTCGGCTTTTACGCCTCCCTGTTCTCCGTCAACACCGCCCACAGCCGCCTCACCACCGCCTCCAACCGCAAAACCGTTCACGGCGGCCTTCTCATCTAACACGAACCGTGTTGACTCGGTCTCTGTGACGGCTTGTGACGGAGGTACGCCATTGTTCTGATCTTCCATTGACAAGTCCATACACAGTTTCTGAGAAAATCAAACAGAAAAATATATACTTTATGCATATAATATATATATATATAGTGAGAGAAAGTAATAGAGAAAGAATACTGGTTTGGGAATTGAGATACTCAATGAAGAGAAAGAGGAAGAGGAAGAGGAAGAGGAAGAGGAAGAGACATACTTTTGTATAAATATATAAACATATATACATGTATATATATAGTATAAGAGTATATATATAGTATAAGAGTTTGAACATACATATCTCTGCAAAAGGCTCCAAAATAAAATCTTCGTTGTACAAGACCTCTATCAAGTCTGAACTCCTCTCTGTTTGTGGAATGAAAAACAAGTGCTTTGTGCATCTATATATATATATATATATATATATATATAAAAACTTATAAAGAGAGTGAACCGCTTTTATATTCCAATAATACCCTTCACAATTTAGAAATTGACCCACAGATTTTCTCGGATTTTGAAAGAAAAGTGGGAAACTAGTGTATAAGATATTTTACAGTTTTATTTCTTTTTATATAAATATAATATAAATTTGGTTATTTATGTGTGGAGTTATTATTGCTAAATAAGATATTTTACAGTTTTATTTTTATATAAATATAATATAAATTTGGTTATTATGAATGGAGTTATTAGTAAATCAAAAATAAAACACATTGCAAAATTTGGAAGATTTTATTTCCAAAAACAAAAAAGCTAATTATTGAAAAGTATTAATGTTTTAGTAATGCAATATTACATAATTGTTTTGAATTTCAAATAAGATAATCTTTTCTGTTTGTGAGGGTCAATGAATATAAGCCCCGCCTGTCAAAATATTAATTAATGCTTATCTATATTTTTTGAAAGATGATTTTTAATTTCAGAAAAATAGAATCTTCATAGTTATGGGGACTCTGAATCATAAGCCAACTAGAATACCAAAGTTGTGCCTGCTTATTGAATATGGCACAACCAAGAAAATAATTTACACTTGCCAAAAAAGAAAAGAAAAATAAAAAAATTATTAATAGCTGAAAAAAAAAAAAGAATTGTAACTGTTGGTAAACATCACTTGGAATATTATTCAATTACTCAATTGCATAAAGGAATTTTACTATTATTATAAGCGCCACTTAAAATAAATAGGGTAAAATTTTAAATAACAGGATCATCACTTATCACTCAATGCTAAACAAATATATTTATTTTTTAATTACTACTTAAAAACTAATGCTTAAAATTCAGCTCTTAAAATTTGTTCAGTACTTATTTTTCAGTTTTATTGAACAGTACCTTACTTTCGTCTAAGCCTACAATTGATGAATAGAAATATAAACAGTACATACAATCATACATTTATTTGTTACACGAGATTTATTGAATTTTATCAATACATTACCAACAGACCTACAATAATACATTAATTTGTTCCACAAGATTTATTGAACAAAAACTGTGATACTCTTCCTCCGATGATACTGATCATCCAATAAGGGTTTCAATAATTCAAATGAACGATTTGAAGACCTATTGATTATTACAGAATCAAAACTTCCCATCAACCCCATTTGATCTGGTTTGATGTAGTTACAGAACTAAAACCTCCAACCAATGTATTAGAACTGCTCATCTCCATCATGCCACTTCATCCGAATCTCCAAAGAGTTCTTTCCAATGAGAAGCCGCCTCTTCAGGTGTCCGGAAAGTCCAGATGTGGGGCTTGGATTTCTCCCGAGTTTCCAAAATTTCCTGCATTCAGAACATGCCTTTGTTATTTTCAAGAAAAAATTGAAGATCTCAACATGACACTGCTAGAATTTTGAAGGTACGTAATTCTCCTTCCTACCCTCAACCTAAAACAAAGAGGGCATACTAAGGCTGCAAAGAACAATATGATTGGTAAAAATTAATAAAAACAGACAAGTAATGGCAATTCTAACTTCTTAAATGACAGGCAATAGCTTCAAGTACCACTACGGTATAAAATTTGGTCAGCAGAGGATTACAGTAGAAATGATTCTTTCTATTCTTAAAATTTGGCTAGATGAAGAAAAAATTGCTCATATCTGACTTAAATTGCAATGTTAGAAACCATCCCCATTTTGTTTTTGTTTTCTAAAGAAAACCACTTTCAGTAAAATAGAGTTGTGTGGTTAGCTAAAAATTGCTCATATCTGACTTATCCGACTTAATAGGGGCTTAGCTACGATACAAGAAGCCATGAATCCCAAACTTCACCGCCCCTAGATGTTTTAAAAGAGCAGTACTGCGGTGTGTTACTTCTTAAATGAAATCTTCGACGGATCTTCGCAACTGGTTTGAATTAAAAGAGTATTCGCGATTAAATAATAGGAACTCAAAAAGTTCAGAACACAGAGAAGAATTAAAAAGGTGGAAAATCATGCATAATCATGGAAATTATTTGATCAACACAAAGGGCCACTCGGCCCATTCAGGCTCTTATCAATCTTGAATGAGATAATGTATGGATTTAAGTAAGTCCTTGCATGTGAGCACTCTTGGGCTCATTGCAGCTTGAGGAGTACCACAAAAAATCGTAGCTAGTTGAATCATGAAGTCGACACACGGAGAATATGCATACTTAATGACAGATTACCGTTAACAAACACCTCTTTTTTCTCCCCTGCTTTTCTTCTTTAGCTTGGACTGATTCATATGGAAATGCTGGAACCTTAATATTCAACAAAATTTTGTCCAAGTTCTCAGGCTTGGAAAACCAAATAAGAACCGAGGCTACCGGATTGTCATTTACAAGTTGACGTTGTGCATTCCACTAAGGTATTAATCTCATTTTCACAGGTTTTGTCCACGACGATACGAATCTAGGGGACAAAAACATACAGACATAAAATGGAGAGCTTAAAGCTGAAAACTAGATCAAACTAAAAGTCAATGGAACACAGGGTAGGAAAAATTGTACAAAACAAGAACCCCTAGCCAACTATTTGACACTCTTTAGAGCAAGAGATGTGGCTTCATTTACATCATATTCAAAAAAAGAAGAAAGAAAACATACAAGTTTTATCTTAATGTTGGAATAATTCACTTTCATGAGCTATGATGCTTAAGTTAGAATCACATTAAGCAAATGACATATAGGAAAAAAGTATGAGCAAAAGCTTGGCACTATCTGGTTCATTTATCAAAGCAAAAATAAAATATATATGTGTGTGTGTGCTCACTAGTCTTTTGGTATTTACCATGTATGGTAACATAGAAATATGTGAGTGCATCATTAGGGGGAGCAAACCTGAAAGCTTAACAACGATACAAGTCTCTGGTGATGTAATATAATTTTTGAATCAGACACCTCAATGAAAAAAAAAATTAAAAAATTATATCCTAGGGTATACGAGATGATTAATTTGGTGTGACACCATAATGAAAAGGATTTATCCAGTCTGAGATTAAAGAAAATTGGCACAATTACCAATGGAAAATCATAGTATCTCCTATCCTGTGCTTAATGGTGTTCACAATTGAGGAGTTGCCATTATGCAATTAACATCTCTACTGCTCGAGATGATGCAAATCAGACAGGTAAAGTTGTAATTTGAAGTAGAAGGGTCATATGTAAGGTTCCTTGGAAGGATTATGGGAGACAACATAACTTCAATCAAACACCTGAAGAGCTGATATAGAATTGAGTTAAAGATTTCAGAATAAACATGTGGATGTTACCCCAGCTCCAACAATTTACCACATCTTCTCGCCGAAGCAAAGGTTGACAACCGTACTTCGTAGAAGAAAAGAACAATGGGAACATATAAATATAAAACATAAAAATAAAATAAAATAAGAAGTCCACATGGAATATAAAGGGAGGAGTGAAATTAGGGGGTTCACATGTTATTGTCTATCAAAAAAATAAATGTAAAAGCTAACAAATAATGATGAAAAAATCCTTTCTTTAATTATAAAAGAAAAGGAAAAAAGAGACAACCCAACTAGGAAAACAAATTAAAAGAAAAAAGAGACAACCCAGGTTTGAATTTCAATCCGAACAGAACATTTTAGTTTTTTTCTTTCTTTTATTTTTTAACTTCTTTGGGCACATAATAGTTCCAAAAATATATATATTTACCGTGCATCATCAATTATCCTCAAATGTACAAAGGATTCAGAATATGTCCATGCAAACAGATGCTAAATTCCCTGGGCTAAAATTGTCAGTAGCCTTAATAATTGCAATAAGAAATACACAAATACCAGATACTAAGTTTTCAGACGCACCTCCAGCTCAGAAGAACGTTTTGTTTTCAAACTTAAGCAATCAACGAGAGAACTCCATTTCGCCGAGCAGTTATCAAGGACTCCAAGCCGATAGTACCGCTGCATCTGATGGACTGGAGCTGCCAGAACATAGGTGCCATCAGTTCAATAATCCAAATAAAAAAAATTTAAAAGAATAAGAATGGTAAAATGGCATAAAGTCCAAAAAGTGTCAATGGGCCAAAGTGCAAATGCTTCATGATATTATTGTTAAAACCTCATTGGGCCCACACAAGAGTCTTCAGGAAGCATCTTGGGTTTAGGAGAAGTGGTTCCACTAAGCATCGGTACACGGAAAGCATTACAATCTGAGAATCGTCTTCACTTAAGCTCTCTTTCCCTTCCCCTGTTTATAGGCTTCAATCTCAATATTCTTTTCTGGGTGTTTTAAGGGGGCACAATCCTCATTATATGGTAAAATTGTCAGCGATGCTAAATTTTCTCGGAGATTTCCAGAGGCTGTAAAGATAACGAGACAACTAGATGTAGGCTGCAGATATACGAACAAATTAGATTAGCTTGTTCTCAGCTTTTCAAGCTTGTTCAACAGTATAAATGTGCCAGGCTCAATTTAATCTTTAGCTTGTTAGTCTTGTTTGATAACAAACCAATTGACTCGGTGCCTTTACCAATGGTGGCACGGCCTAGTGCTGAAGCTGATGCTTTTAGTAAGCATATTAATGATATCCATGCGGAAGTGCGAAGGAAGATTGCAATGAGCGAAGAGAGTTACAAAACACAAGTTGATGCTTTTAGGAAGCATATTAATGATATCTATGCGGAAGTTCGAAGGAAGTTTGCAATGACCAATGAGAGTTACAAAACACAAGCTGATTTTCAGAGTGGTTATCAGAAGTTCCTTACCAATTTTTTTTTGTACTTGGATTGCTGATAAGTTCCAATATATAGCTCCAGACCTTTATGAGCAATTCCATCCCTTTAACTCGTCAGAGTTGAGTTTTCCAAGCTTGAGAGAATTGATAGAGATCAATAGCAGAAATCTTTAAAGATGTATAAAAGGCACCAAAAGGAGGATTCTAAAATTTGAGCTAGCATAGGCTAGATAATATGGGCCCACATGGAGTTTTGAATAATTGGGAGATATGGGGTAATCATAAAGTCAAATATTGATTACCTCAATTTTTTTTTTTTTTTTTTTTTGATAAGTAAAATGTATTAAAAGGCATTCAAAAGGGGAACGCATCCCAAGCTATACAAAGATAAAGCAGAACCTATAATCTCAAAGAGCCCAAAAGGTCCACAATATCCTCAATAAAGGAAAAATCTCTCCCCCAACCCCAACAAAAAAGAGTACAAATAATAGAAAATTTCAACACCCCAATGGAGGACTCCTTCCCATCAAAAAATCTTCTATTCCGCTCTTTCCAATTGCTCCTCCAAACACAAAAAGGGATTACCCTCCAGAAGACTCTCGCCTGAGCCCCTACCCATTGGACCCTTCAAATATCCAACAATTCCCGAGAAGTCCGAGGCATGACCCAATGAATACCAAACAGACCAAAAATGAGACTCCAACAATCATGAGCCACAGGACAATGCAGCAGCAGGTGATCCACTGACTCCCCATTCAACTTACAAAGACAACACCGATTAACAATAACATGTCTTCGCTTCCTCAAGTTGTCCAAAGTCAAAATCTTATTCCAAGCTACAGTTCACACAAAAAAGGCCACCCTAAGAGGCGCCTTGGACAACCACACCGTCTTCCATGGGAAGGTAACGCCATGAAAACCAAAGAGGCACACAAAAAAAGACCGGACCTGGAACATTCCCTGAGTAGATCAGGGAGTCAACACCAGTGCCCTCCACCTCCTGTCTGTACAAGAGAGCCAACAAGCCAGTGACATCATCCAACTCCCAATCCTGAAAAGATTGTCGGAATTGCACATCCCAAGACAACCTCCCGCTGTCAAGGCGATAGCAATTAGCAACCATAGCATATTTGTCAACAGCAATCCTAAACAGCCTTGGAAACAAAAGAGGCAAAGGGCAATCCTCGCACCAGGGATCCTCCCAAAACCAGACAAACCTTCCATCCCGAACTCTGAATCTAACATGTTTAGAAAACTCGTCCCATCCTTTTCCAATGGCCCTCCACACCCCCACTCCACTAGCAGACCTGACTGGCCTAGCTGACCACCCCCCTCTCTCCTCCCCAAAGCGACAAAAAATAACCCTTCTCCATAATCTATGCCTTTCACTGCCAAATCTCCAAAGCCACTTACCAAGGAGAGCACTGTTAAAGGGGGCAATCTCCTAATCCCAAGCCCGCCCAACTGAAATGGCCTGCAAACCTGCTCCCATCTAACAAGATGATACTTAAACTCCTCTCCACGACCTCCCCAAAGGAAGTTTCGTTGAAGCATCTCAAGACGTCCAACAACCGAGGCTGGAACCCGAAAAAGTGAAAGAAAATACTTTGGGAGGCTTGACAAGATATTTTTCACTAACGTAACTTTACCACCCTTAGAGAGAGATTGCTTTTTCCAAGCAGCTAATCTTCTCTCGACCCTCTCAATCACCAGGTCCCAACTTCCCACCCTCCTGGCCGAGTTCCCCAGCGACAAACCCAAATACGAGATAGGGAAGCGTTGCGTCCCACACCCTAAAACAACAGCCAGAGTGTCCACCTCCTGAACCTCCCCCACAGGGACAAGCACACTCTTGCCCACGTTGACTTTCAAACCAGAGACAACCTGAAAGCAAACCAAGACACATCTCAGATACCTCAACTCGAACACCTCTGCCTTGCAAAAAACAATAGTGTCATCCACAAAGGGCAAGTGAGAAATCTCCATCTGCTGAACGGAGTCGGGGCCGATCTTAAAGCCCCTGATAAAACCCAAGTCCACCGCCCTTCTCATCAACGTACTAAGAGTCTCCATAACAATAATAAAAAGGAACGAGGAAAGAGGGTCCCCTTGCCTCAGACCGTGAGAACTGTCGAAAAACCCTGTAGGAGACCCATTCACCAACACCGAAAATCTAACAGTGGAAACACATGAAACAATCCATTTCCTCCATCTCTCACCAAAGCCCATCCTCTCCAACAGGTAGAACAGGAAATTCTAGCAGACATGATCATAGGCTTTCTCGATATCCAGCTTACAAAGAACACCAGGAGCCCCACTACACAGTCTAGAATCCACACATTCACTGGCAATAAGAGTGGATTCCAGGATCTGTCTACCCCCAATGAAAGCATTCTGAGACTCAGAGATAACTCCATCCAAAACCTCCCTCAATCGAGACGCAAGTACTTTTGTGATAAGCTTGTAAATGCACCCAATCAGACTGATTGGTCGAAAATCCTTAATGTTAGACGCACCACCCTTCTTAGGTATAAAGGCAATAAAAGATGCGTTCAGTGATTTCTCAAACCGCCCCGTGGAATGAAACTCATGAAAAGTGCCCATAACCTCGTACCGGACCACCTCCCAGCTCTCCAACAGAAATCTCGTAGTAAAGCTGTCCGGGCCTGGAGCCTTATCACCATTACAGCTCTTACAAGCCTTCAGCACCTCTTCCTCCGAAAAAGGACTTTCCAACCCATCTCTTTCCAAGGCAAAAATAGAATCAAAGTGAAGATCATCAAGACGTGGCCTCCATCGAAAAGGCTCAGAATAAAGCTTTTGGTAGAAAGAGACAATACCGCTACGTACCTCCTTCTCCGTAGTCAAAACCGCACCATCCACACACATCCGCCCAATGTGATTATTCCTCCTATGAGCATTAGCAGTTCTATGGAAAAACTTGGTATTCCGGTCTCCCTCTTTGAGCCACAAGGCCCGAGATTTCTAGCGCCACGAAATTTCCTCCAAAATTGCAATCTCCACACATTCTGCCTGACAAGCTGCTCTCCTACTGCATTGAGATTCAGAAAGAACACCCTCCCCTTCTAGTCTATCAATCTCGACAATATCAACCAAAGCCCTATTCTTCCTCCACTCCAAACTCCCAAAAACCTCCTTATTCCACCTTTTGAGATTATTTTTCAGAATTCGAAGCTTTCCTGCAAGAATAAAACTCGACGTACCCACCACCAAGTTCTCCTCCCACCAAGAATGCACAAATCCCTGGAAGTTATCCGCACGAAGCCACATATTCTCAAATCTGAAAGGATTGCTACAAGATTTCAACCCTCCACAGTCTAAAACCAAGGGAATGTGGTCCGACGTCACCCTAGCCAACACAGGCTGAACAACATCTGGGAACTTCTCTTCCCAGTCCCTGGAAATCAAAAATCTATCAAGGCAAGAGAAAGTTGGTACTTCCCTTCCACTAGACTAAGTGAAAAAAGCTCCCTCAAGAGGAAGATCAATAAGCTGATGACCATCAATAAAGTCAGAAAAGTGCATCATAGCCTGAGTCCACGGACCTCTTGTAGATCTCTCCGCCGGGGACCTAACCACATTAAAATCACTTGCCACACACCAAGGAAGAGACCACCTCCCCTTCACCCCACTCAACTCCTCCCACAAACCGTCCCTCACATCATCATCAACCAGCCCATATACCCTAGAAAAACCCCAAGTGAAACCATCCTCCTCCATCACAAAGGCACAAGACAAAGAAAAAATCCCCCTAAAAACATCCACCTTAGCCATTCATCTCCTATCCCACATAATAAGAACACCACCTGAAGTCCCAACAGAATCCAGCGCCTCCCACTCAACAAACCGGTTACCCCACAAACTCTTCACCACCCGATCAGTCATAGAATCAATCTTTGTTTCTTGAAGACACACCAAATGCACCCCCCATTTTCTCACTGCCATCTTCACCACCTTTCGCTTGCCCGGACCATTGAGGCCACGGACATTCCAAGATAAAAGTCGTAGCTTCATAAGAAAACATTCACCCCCATCACCCCCATCACCCCCTTACCCATTCCTCCTCCCTTAACACTCGCCCTCTCCTTCACCCCCTCAATCGACCTATCATAATTCACATCAGAACACAGGTTCCTAAGCTCCCTTTCCCCTTTCCACGGAGAAAGGTTCTTCTTCTTCCGGCTCCTCCTTCTGGAAAATTGAATCATCTCCCCCTCTCTCCCCTCTGCCGTGGCCCGAAGAATTGTTAAGGCCTGATCACGATTGCCCTTACAAGAGACACCCATTGCCCTTGCAAGAATTTGTGAGTGATTCACAAATTCTGAGGGTGTAAGGCCTTCTCTAGGTGTTAGCCTAGGCCCTATTGGAGTGATTCCAATAAGTAGCTCTATTCAATTTCTTTTCCTTTGTTTTTCTAAATTTTTACTATCAAACCTCCAAATTTCAGCCCTAGTTCTTTGAACTTTCAGCCTTTGAATTCTATATGTCTCTAACTATTTAAGGTTGCTCTTGTGTCCTACATCAGTTAAGAATATAATATATTGGAGATACTCTAAGAACATATGTGACATAATAATAATTAGGGCAAATTACAATGACACCCCTTCAGGTTAAGTCAAATCTCATATAGATTGACATTTTGGTTTTAACTTTCACTTACATCCCAAATTACTTTTCTGACTTTAACAAATGCGAATTGACCCATTTACCCTCATTTTTTTAATACAATTTAATATAAAATATCTATAAACTTAAATGACAAAAATACCCCTATATAAGACAAAATCCACATCTCCAAATCAATCTCCCTCTCTCTTTCTATCTATTTACACACACACACACACACACACACACACATATATATAATGAGAATAAAAGCTTTGCAGTCTTTTTGCTTTCTAATACATCGTCTTGAAAGGCAAAGTGGTATAAAAAAAGAAGACAAAGCTTCACATATGATGAGATATATATAACTTGTAATTGAGGCACCGACATTCCAAATCCACCCCGAGAAGACTGTCGTTGACGACGAGGAGGAGCACTCCGCCCCATCCTCCAATCTCGCCACCCCTTCCACTATTGTCCAAGTCACCATCGCCGTCGCCGACATGCCCAACGGTGAGCCCTATCAGTGGAATCCATAGAATATAGAACACCACAAACAATAGAAAAAAAAAATGTTTCATAACATGTGCTTAAGGCTAATGAATTGAGCAATCCAAATTTTATATGAATGAGCTAGTCTCCTAGGCTTCTCTTATAATATGCATGTGTGTGCGTGTGTGTGGCCAAGTCTCTTTGGAATTATAAACCTCATATTCTGTACACTTAAGACAGAGAAATTAACATATTAGAGGTTGTTCTGAGTTAGTACCAAGGCCAACCCCCATGTAGTTGTGACAACAGTCTTTTAAATTGAATCATATATTTGCATGAGTTCAGTGAGAAATAATTAGCCTCTTTCTTATATGCTGGTAGTTCAAATTCACCTATAGAGATTACAAGAAAAGGAGAAGGAAGATGATTGCAAGTCAAGATCCATTCAAGGTTATTATGAGAATAAATCCTACTACTTCTGGTCCTGGAATTTCCACGCTACTATATAGAAGCAATAAAGATGATTTGCAACTTTTTTGTTGGAAGAGGATAAAGTCGATGTCTTTAAAGAAAGGGTTAGATCTTCAAAACACAAGTCAGTACTAAAGATTTATCACATGGAAGCATTGGATTTTGTGACATAAGGAGTTCGAGCCTCAGTGGAGGCATTTGTGTATGAGTACTAAGAAAAAATTTAGTACTGGACATAGCATGTGGATGCGGCAACCAGAACGATAATTCTTTTCCCCACTGCACAACTTCCTCATAATGTACTGTACACATGTTTAGATCCTAGAATCCTTAAAAAAATGGATTTTTATGATTACTAGTTTTTTGAATTTATGAAGATGTTTTTGTATGAGTCATGAAATTCATATTTACGTTGTCACTGTGAGGGAGAAAAACTATGTAACTTTTATTTTCAACTATTTCTGTGACCAAAAGATACACTTAACAATGCAAATGAAAGTTATGCAAATTGAACTTGAAAGTTGTTTTTTTTTTTAATGTAAAAACAAAAATATTTCAAATCTTGAAATGAAGATGCCTTGTTAAAAGTCACATACTAATCAAATATAGTAGTATACAGTATCTGCTTATTAAAAAAACAGAAGGAAGAAGAAGAAGAGTTATCTATCTAGTTGATCGTTTTTTCTTTTTCTTTTTTTTCATACAAGTGTCCAAAAGTATATCACATGTTATCTTAAGTTGCTAAAAAGATCCTCACTTTCATAACTACCTCAACATTATAACACATCTTATGTATTACAACTTGCAGTTTAGATAATCTGTTCAAAAGGTTTGATTAAGATCTAAACTGAAATCTTATGTATTATAACTGTTGTAAAATAACACTAGTACTAGAATGTGTTTTTGATGGGCATAACAACTATGTACTTAAACCTAAAAAATAAAAAAACAAAAAAAAACTATGTATATATATGAATGAAATCTAATGGTTTTGAGATGGAATAACAAATCAAGGTACCTTTGAAGTCACTAGAGTGTTTTAATGTATAAAGATTGAATCTTTAAATTAAAATGAGACTTTTGAATCTAAACTTAATCGAGTTCCCTTTGAAGTCTCAAGAGTGTTTTAATGTGTAAAGATTGAATCTTTGAATGAAAATACATTAATCAAGGTACCTTTTAAGTCAATAGAGTTTTTTAATGTATAAAGATTTAATCATTGAATAAAAATGACAGTTTTGAGTTAAACTTATTCGAATTCCCTTTAAGTCACAAAATTGTTTTAATGTGTAAAGATTGAATCCTTGAATGAAAATACCTTAATCAAGGTACCTTTGAAGTCACTAGAGTGTTTTAATGTGTAAAGATTGAATCTTTGAATGAAAATGAGAGTGTAGAGTTAAACCTAATTTTACAAAAACCAAAATCAGAGAATTATTTGAAGAGGTAATAAGGGGTGTGGAAGAAGATTGAACAAAATGCAGGAGATCACTTGACTTTAAGATCTTCAAAGGTTGGAAATTTAAAAATCATAGTACAAAATCAAATTATCAATAAAGAATTTATCATATTTTGTAGCACCCACAACAAATTTGTGATAAGAAACCAATATAGCATTAGTGCAGCCAATCCAAATATATATATATATATATATATATATATATGTGTGTGTGTGTGTGTGTATGTATCAAAGAGACGAAGAAAATCTTTAGTTTCTAATAAGCAAATCCAATAGCTATATTCTGATACGAGTGAACCAAACAGCAGACACACATTGAAAAAAATCCCCAAAACACCAATTCACCAAACTAGTCATTCTAATCAAAAGCGAATGTAGTACCCAGATAAAATACAAACAAAAAATTCAAAACACCCGCTAATGAATTTCTAACAATTATCACCTGCCAAAAAAAAAAACCTAATTAATTTCCTTCTTAGAGCTAAAATAACATGACTTGTTGACGGAAATTGAGATTTCAAAAACAAAATTGATAAGGCGTTTTTTATGATTATAACACAGTTAGACACATCTAAAATACAACAAAAAAATTGAAAAAGCGAGGAAAACAGTGCATGTGAGAAAGATAGGGCAGCGTACAATAGCAAAACCAGAGGGCATCAAAGCACGTTGTGCATGATAAGCGCCGTGGAGTAATGGAAGCTTCTTCCTTCTCTGAATTCATCCTTCTCTCCAGGGCCAGCCCTGAGATTTCAAATATTTTGAGAGGCTCTAGGCGAACTTTCAAATGTGAGGCCCTTAAGTTTCACACACGCAAAAAAAAAAATTATAAGAGTGCAAAATTTTCACACCATGTTTTCAAATTCTATAGTTAATATAATTGTGCGCCTGTGCATTATGCATAAGACAATTAACTAATAACTATAAATTTAACACCACCAACAAATAATTGTACACCTGTACAGTGTGCATAAGACAACTAACTAATAATTATAAATCTATCACCACCAATAAATAATTGCGCGCCTGTGCAGTGTGCTTAAGACAACTAACTAATAACTATAAATTTTTATCACCACCAATAAATAATTGTGCACCTGTACAGTTTGCATAAGACAGCTAACTAATAACTATAAATCTATCACCACCAATAAATAATTGTGCGTCTGTGCTATGTGCATAAGACATGTAACTAATAACAATAAATCTATCAATTAAAGAGTGCGAAATTTTCACAGGCACAAAAATTATAAGAATGCGGAATTTTCATTAATATGAGATGATGAGAGCATAAAATATATTAATGTTAAAAACACACAAAAGAAAACCCGATCTTGGTGCTTTAAAAAGAGCACGATCCAGTTTACATCAAAAAATTAAAATGAAATATTCAACACAACTAAGTCACAAAAATCAAAATTCAACTTTATATCAAAGTACATGTTCTGTTCACATGAGTAGGGAGCACTATATTCACTTTTAATTGTAGCCTTCGCAAATAGTTAATCGGACTTTTATTTTCCTATTTTAGGGTTTAGGGTTTGGGCTCATAATAAATTGAAAGTTGCTCCTGCTACTCAGCCTAGAGGCAAATAACCTCTGGAGATCCTAAGAAGAGTATCCTCAATATGATTTGATTCAAGTTCAAGGCAAATAACCTCACGAGATCCTGAGAAGAGTGTGCTGCTAGCATGTGAAAGAAGATCACAATTAACATAAAACGGATGGAGAATCAAATGGAAACAATAATAACTAAGCATTGCCGATCATACAATAAATATAATATAAAAAAAAAAAAATTTCTAAAATCAAGCAGTTTGGTCGAATGATCTCCTGGCTGGAGTTTTCACTGGAGCTTTGTGTGTGTTTTGTGTGTTTTTTTTGGGAGCCAATTACCCCTTTCTTGATTTCAGGTTGAGGAATCAACTTTAGTAGCAGTGATTGATTGATCATTGCTACAGAAAACCTGTGCAAAATAATAGAAAAAACCATTAACTTT